TCCAAAAACCAGCCCAGCTTGTCCCCGCCTCCCTAACCTGTCCTTCCTCCCACCTATCCCCTCCTCCCATCTCCTACCTACTAACTTCATCCCGCCTCCTTGACCTGTCCATCCTCCCTACCTCCCCACCTACACTCACCTTTACGGGCTCCATCCCCGCCTCTTTGACCTGTCTGTCTCCTCTCCACCTTTCTTCTCCTCTATCCATCTTCTATCCGCCTCCTCCCTCTCCCTATTTATTTCCGAGCCCCCTTCCCCTCCCCCATTTCTGAAGAAGGGTCTAGGCCCAAAACGTCAGCCTTCCTGCTCCTCTGATGCTGCTTGGCCTGCTGAATTCATCCAGCTCTACACCTTGTTATCTCAGATTCTCCAGCATCTGCAGTTCCTACTATCTCTAGAACAGGAAATAGTGTACTTCTCTTTTTTTCTTTCTCTCTGATGCTCTCTCTCTCCACCTCTATTCCTCTATCTCCACTTCTCTCTTTCTAGTGGAAAATCGCTGAAGCTAAAGAAAGCCTGTTGTTTTCTCTCACCGATTGCTGTCAACTGTTGTTTTTAACCAATAAGTCAGAGACTTCATCATTTTTGAATGAGTCATTCTGTACCTCCCATGAAGAAGAGAAATAGCCCAGAGGAAAAGTTTGAAGAACTAAAGGACTTGGAAAACAATTGGAATCCCTCCGTCGAATCTTGAGGAATGGTCCCATTAGACTGCGTTTTTCCATTTTTTTTCCCTCCATCCATAACAACAGTTTTGAATGTGTATTTTGGAGGGGAGTGTTTAGAAAGGGGTTAGAGTTTTAGCTAGTAGGCTTACATGTCAACAGTTTTTTATTGTGGTTAGAATATAATTATTTATGCAAATAGTAGTTCTTGTTAAGTACAGAAACTTGGTACGTGTTTTCCCTTCAAGCACTCCCTGTCATAGCAAGCTCCACATATTTAGCATTTGGTCGACTGCAGCCTTGATGCCAAGAGCTGTCACTCTCACCTCACCTCTGGAATTCACCTGTTGTGTCCATGTTTGAACCAAGGCTGTAACGAGGCCAAGATCAAGATCTTAGTGGCCCTGGAGGAACCCAAACTGAGCATCAGTGAGTGGGCTATTACTGAGCAAGTGCTGCTTCATAGTTGAAAATTCCTTCTATCGAATTACTGATGATTGATAATAGACTGAAGGCATGGTACCAGGTTAGCTTTGTCCTGCTTTTCTTCTTTCCCTTTTTGCCAATCTGGCCTTCTCCTCTGCAAGACACCTTGTAGCACACACTGTTCTTGGAGTGAGGTGAGGATTAAGAAACTTGCACTGCGGGCTCAGTTGATCCACTCTGAGCCAAAGATCAGTTATTAGTAACTTTGAGATTGTTGAAGAGAATCTTGGAAAGGGGTTAAAAGTTGTGAACCTCACAAGACAATGAGAAAATAGTGACACAGCAAAGGAGACCTGAGAGTGGGAATATCACAATGTCTTTGACAAGGTTGAGTTCTTTGGATTGGAACGTCTTCTGGGGATTTAGGCATTTTCCACTTGGTGACTGACTGCTGAATACAGCTGCTGAAATATATTGTAAAATGAACAATTAGAACATCACAGGTCTTATTTTTCATCATTATCACAAAAGCAATGCTGAACACAAAGGGTGGCATGTTATTGGGATCCAACTTCGTGAAAGGGACTCTCCATCCACTCATCCCGCAGCGTCAGAAATGAATGTGGATTGATCACTTGCATTCTGGGACTCTGCAAAATTTATCTACTTTTAGAAATAAAGGAACTCCTTCAGTGAGCATGCAAGCAGGCAGGGGGAGTCTGTCAAAAATAGTTAAAGTTGCTTCATTGCTATACATCTAATCAATAATGTCTTCAAAAACAAAGCACCAGCATTGTTGTCCTCTTTCTGAATTCATGGTACTATCTTCAAACAAATTATATTCTGTCAAAGGTTCACCTTCGAAGGTTTTCCCTGATACTGATATAAAACTGATTTATCATTTTCAGCTGTTCCATTATTATGTCTACATTTTTTAGATTGCAGATCTCTGTATGATGCATGGGAATGCCAAAATTTAGTATAGAATGTTGAAGAGATACAAAAGTAGCACTAAGTTCCAAGTGGGGAATCAAAATTACATTCGGCTACATACTCTGCCCATAAGTAATACCCGTTTAAAGCCAGTGAAGATAGGTAACTGTACCTCCTCCACAATAACACTCAACACTGGAGCCCCCCAAGGAAGCATCCTCAGCCCCCTACTGTACTCCCTGTACACTTACGACTGTGTTGCCAAATTCCAAACGAACGCCATCTACAGTTCACTGATGACACCACTGTAGTGGGACAGATATCTAACGACGACGAGTCAAACTACAGAAGGGAGATAGAGGGCTTGGTGACGTGGTGCAACGAAAACAATCTGTCTCTCAACATCGGCAAAACTAAAGAACTGATCATTGACTTCAGAAAAAAAGGAGGAGAACCTGTCCCCATCTACATCAACGGAATTGAGATTGAGACGGTGAAGAGCATCAAGTTCCTCGGAGTGACGATAACTGACAACCTTCGCTTCCCATGTAGATGCAATAGTCAAGACGGCACAACAATGCCTCAGGCGGCTCAGGAAATTTGGCATGTCCATAAGGTCCCTCACCAACTTCTACAGAGGCACCGTTGAAAGCATACTGTCCGGGTGCATAACGGCCTGGTTTAGCAACTGCTCTGCCCAGGACCATAAAAAACTACAGAAGGTGGTGTGCACAGCCCAGACCATCACGGAAGCCAACCATCTATCCATGGAATCCATTTACAAGGTTCACTGCCGTAGAAAGGCTGCCAACATCATCAAAGACCTATCGCACCCCGGTAATGCTCTCCTGCAACCTCTTCCGTCAGGCAGAAGATATAAAAGCCTGAACACATGCACGAGCAGGTTCAGGAACAGCAGCTTCCCAGCTATTATCAGACTGATGAATGGACTCTCTAGCCTCAAATAACACTGATCTTGCAAACATTGATCTCGCCTAGCGCACGCCCTGTGTAATGTAACCTGTATGCCTCTAAGTCTCTTTAATCTGTATATCCTTTTGCTTACTATCATCTGCCTGTATCACTCATAAACAAAGTTTTTCACTGTATTCGGTACATGTGACAATAAATAGATCAATCAATCAATCAGCCATGTTAATTTCCTTGTTCATCTGTTCATTTCAGAACAAGCGGCGACGACACCACCATCTGGCCTAACACCAGTGACTGAAGGGCAAGCAGAGCAGCTACATCTGCAACAACAGCATACTATGCCAGTCTCAGCACCCACAGTTTCTCAGGTAACTCAGTCAGTAGAAAATAGCTATTATTTGCATAGATTTCATACCCTGTGGTATATGACTCTCACTGGATTTCTCCTATTTGATTAAGGTTTGTGTTTGTAAACTATGCAGTAATTGTTTGAAGTTTCACTACACCAGGTTGTAGTCCAACAGGTTTATTTAAAATTGCAAGCATTCTGAGCACTGCTCCTTCACCTGACGAAGGAGCAGCACTCCGAAAGCTTGCAACTTTAAATGAACCTGTTGGACCATAACCTGGTGTCATGACTTCTGACTTTGTCCACCCTGGTCCAACACCAGCACCTCCACATGATGATTGTTTGTATCTTCTATTACATATTCTTTTCATGGACAGTGAGCATCACTGGCAAGGCAAACACTGTTGCTCACTGGGTGGCATGGTGGCTCAGTGGTTAGCACTGCTGCCTCACCGTGCCAGGGACCCAGGTTCAATTACAGTCTTGGGCGACTCTGTGTGGAGTTTGCACGTGCTCCCCGTGTCTGCATGGGCTTCTTCCGGGTGTTCCGGTTTCCTCCCACAGTCCAGTGATGTGCAGGTTAGGATGAATTGGCCATGCCAAATTGCCCATAGTGTCCAGGGATGTGCAGGCTAGGTCGATTAGCATGGGAAACGGAGGGTTACAGGGATAGAGTGGAGGAGGGGATCTGAGTCTGGGTGGGATGCTGTTCGGAGGGTCGGTGTGGATGCAATGGGCCAAATGGCCTGCTTCCACACCGTAGGGATTCTATGACATCTATGTCTATAGTGATGAGTCCATGTCCATGTGGTATTGGTAGGATGACAGTGCTTTTAGGGAGGGAGTTTTAACCCAGCAACACTGAAGGAACGGTGATATATTTCCAATGAGGGTGGTGAGTACCTTAGAAGGGAACTTGCAGGGGGTGGTGTTCCCTTGTGTCTGCTGCCCTACTCCTTTTAGATGGTGGATGTCACAGTTTGGAATAAGCTGTCGAAGGAGCTTTGGTGAGATGCTGCAGTGCATCTTGTAGATTGTACACACTTCTGTTACTGAGCTTCAGTGGCAAAGGAAATGAATGTTGAAGGTTGAGGATGCGGTGCCAGTCAAATGGGTTGTTTTATCCTGGATGAGTTTCTTAAATGTTGTTGGAGCTGCTTTCATCCAGGGTAATGGAGAGTATTCCATCACACTCTTGACTTGTGCACCTTGGTGGACAGGCTTTGGAGAGTTGGGTGTTTCCAGAAGAATTCCAGGTAGAATTTCCTATGTTTAACCTGCTCTTGTAGCCACAGTATTTAAATGACCAGAGATGGTTTGATTCTTTCTTAATGGAGATAGTCATTGCCTGACACCAGTGTGGCATGAATGTACTTGCCATTGATCATCCAAAGCCTAGAAGTTGTCCAGATCCTGCTGCGTATGGGTCATCCACTTCACACTTCTGGCTGGAGATAGATGCCATTACTTCAGCCTTATCTTTTGCTTTGATGAGCTGAGATCCCCGTCATTGAGGATGGGAATACTTGTGGAGTCTCATCCTCCAATGAGGTATTTAGTTGTCGACCACCATTCACAACTGGATGTGTAGAAACACAGAGCTTAGGTTTGATCTGTTGGTTGTGGGATTACTTAGCTCTGTCTATCACTTGCTGCTTCTACTTTTGGTAAGCACATAGTCCTGTTTTATAGCTTCACCAGGTTGAGACCTCATTTTTAGGTGTGCATGATGCTGCTCCTGGAATGTCCTCCTGCACTCTTCATTGAATTCATTGAACCCCTGGCTTGATGGTAATGGTGGAGCGGGAGGTAATACCAGGCCATGCAGTTACAGATCATGGTTGAATACAATTTTGCTAATGACCCAGAGCCACTCAAAACTGCATCCATGAAGTGCTACATCATATTAAAACACAGAGTGGTCTCTGAATACTGAAGGTGCTGTACCAGGAGGATGATGTTGTAAATGGCAAAATATTATGCGATGAATTAAACGCAGTGTCGCACCATGTAACATTTCATGGTCCAAATTTTCATGTCAAGTTGGGAATGAGGCAAGAGGACTAATCTTGTCGTAGTAATCCCACCTGTGTCTCAAGACTGCTGGCAGCAGGGTCTTGGAGGGTGTCCAAACTTAAGTTGGCAGCAGGCCCAAACCAGGAATGGAGTCGGGCTGAGCCTAGAGTGGGCAGCTTAAAAATCTTAGCTGCATTGCATAAAGGCTTTGGCCTGGTGTTTCTAACGCAGTGGGTTATTTATGTATAGTTGAACCTTCTGACCACTGTTAACTGTTTCGCCCCCCCACCTCTGCCCCCAATAACAGATATCTGGTCTAAATGCACAATGATACTGGGAAAATATGAAACGTTTATACGTTGTTTTCAAACTAGGCTATCTTTTCAATCATGAAGTATAGTATATCTTTTATCCATTAGACAAACTTTTTTAATTTATCTGAAGACTGTTCCAAATTCACAATGTTGATCTTTTACTTACCAGTTGACAGAATTAAAAGTCTAGCAAACACATTAGATCATAGATCATAGAATCCCTACAGTGTGGAAACAGGCCCTTAGGCCCAACAAGTCCACACCAACCCACTAAGCATCCCACCCAGACCCAACCCCTACAACCCACCTAATCTACACATCGCTGAACACTACAGGCAATTTAGCATGGCCAATCCACCACCTAGCCTGCACATCTTTTGGACTGTGGGAGGAAACCAGAGCACCCAGAGGAAACGCACATAGACACGGGGAGAATGTGCAAACTCCACGCAGGCAGTTACCCGGGGTGGAATTGAACCCAGGCCCCTGGCGCCGTGAGGCAGCAGTACTAACCATGAGCCACCATGCTGTTTAAAAGATAGCTACATCTTCATTTCACAGCACTCTTAGAGTCATAGCTATGTACAGCTCGGAAACAGACTCTTCAGTCCAACTCGTCCATGCTGACCAGATATCCTAAACTGATCTAGTCCCATTTGCCAGCATTTGGCCCATATCCTTCTAAACCCTTCCTATTCATGAACCCATCCGGATGCCTTTTAAATGTTGTAATTGTACCAGCCTCCTCCTCTTCCTCTGGCAGCTCATTCCATCCACACACCACCCTCTGCGTGAAAAAGTTGCCCCTTAGCTCCCTTTTAAATCTTTCCCCTCTCACCTTAAACCAATGTCCTCTAGTTTTGCCCTACCCTGGGGAAAAGACCTTGCCTATTCACCTTCTCCATGCTCTTCATGATTTTATAAACTTCTATAAGGTAACCCCTCAGCCTCCGATGCTCCAGGGAAAATAGCCCCAGGCTATTCAGCATCTCTCTTTAGCTCAAACCCTCTAACCCTTGCAACATCCATGTAAATCTTTTCTGAACCCTTTCAAATTTAATAGCATCTTTCCTATAGTAGGGAGACCAGAATTGAATGCAGTATCCCAAAAGTGGCCTAACCAAAGTCCTGTACAGCCACAACATGACCTCCCAACTCCTATACTCAATGCTGTACTGACCATTAAAGGCAAGCATACCAAAGATCTTCACTACCCTGTCTACCTGCAACTCCACTTTCAAGGAAGTATGAACCTGCACTCCAAGGTCACTTTGTTCAGCAACACTTCCCAGGGCTTTACCATTAAGTGTGTAAGTCCTGCACTGATTTGCTTCCCCAAAATGCAGCACTTCACATTTATCAAAATTAAATTCCATCTGCCACTCCTCGGCCCATCTGATCAAGATCCCGTTGTACTCTGAGGTAACTTTCTTTGCTGTCTGCTACACCACCAATTTTGATGTTATCTGCAAACTTACTAACCATTCCTCCTATATTCACATCCAAATCAATTACATAAATGACAAAAAGCAGTGGACCCAGCACCGATCCTTGACACACACTGCTGATCACAGGCCTCCAGTCCGAAAAGCAACCCTCACCACCATCCTATCTCTTCACCTTCGAGCCAATTTTGTATCCAAATTGCTAGCTGTCCTTATGTTCCATATGATCTATCCTTGCTAACCAGTCTACCATGAGGAACCTTTTCGGGCCCCTTACTGAAGTCCACGTAGATAATGTCCACTGCTCTGCCCTCATCAATCCTCTTTGTTACTTCTTCAAAGAATTCAGTCAAGTTAGTGAGACACGATTTCCCATGCACAAAGCCATGTTGATTATCCCCTAATCAGTCCTTGCCTTTCCAAATACTGGTAAATCCTATCCCTCAGAATCCTCTTCAACAACTTACCCACCACTGATGTCAAGCTCACCAGTCTGTAGTTCCCTGGCTTTTCCTTACTACCTTTCTTAAATAACGGCACCACGTTAGCCAGCCTCCAGTCTTGTGGCACCTCATCCATGGCTATTGATGATACAAATACCTCAGTAAGGGGCCCAGCAATCATTTCCCTAGCTTCCCACAAAGTTCTAGGGTACACCTGATCAGATCCCGGGTTTTATCCACCTTTGTGTTTTAAGCCATCCAGTACCACCACCTCCTGTAATATGGACATATTTCAAGATGTCGCTATTTATTTCCCCACATTCTATATCTTCCATATCCTTCTCCACAGTAAACATTGATGCAAAATACTCATTTAATACCTTGCCCATCTCCTGCGGTTCCACACATAGGCGGGAATCAAGTCAGTGAGACACGATTTCCCATGCGCAAAGCCATGTTGACTATCCCTAATCAGTCGTTGCCTTTCCAAATACATGTAAATCCTGTCCCGCAGACTCCTCTTCAGCAACTTACCCATCACTGACGTCAAGCTCACCAGCTTGTAGTTCCCTGGCTTTTGCTTACTACCGTTCTTAAATAATGGCACCACATTAGCCAACCTCCAGTCTTATGGCACCTCCTCTATGGCTATTGATAATACAAATATCTCAGTGAGGGCCCCAGCAATCACTTTCCTAGCTTCACACAAAGTTCTGGGGTACACCTGATCATGTTCCGGGAATTTATCTACCTTTATGTGTTTTAAGATGTCCAGCACCACCTCTTCTGTAATACAGATGT